AATTGCAAGGGACGCAGATGCGTTTCTTGCCGTGGCGGAGCTCATGCACACGAAGTCTGTCGGAACACTGTGCCTGTAGCTGGCGCTCCGCTAGATCGTGGGGCGATCGCAGAGAATGGCGTCCAAGCAGCCTAACATTGACGCAGTGCGGGCTGACAACTACAAGTACCACGGTCAACGCTCCGAGCCGCCAGACCCAATAGAAAACCCCGAGTCTTGAGCTCCGCCTAGAAAACATGAAACAGACGAGAGTCTTCTGGACTACAGGTCTCGAGTCACTCTATTGCCAGGGACACACATGAGTTGAGATTAATGCTTCCTCAACTGCACGGGTTATAGAGCCTACAATGGGTGGGTGACTACAGAACAAGAAGAAAAGCAGACGTGTGAGATTCAAGCATAAAGAAAATGGCCTTTTGGGGCGTGACGCCGTGCAAACTGGTTGAAAAGGCCAAACTATCTGAGAAATTTGCTGCCTCCACGTTCAGGGTAGAAGTATAACGCTTATTTATGCGAACCTCTGTAGGCCCACCTGAGAGACAAAATAAAAATTGAACTGCGAAAAAGGCATACAATTAGGAACGTCATGGCTTGTAATTTCTACCCTGGACTTTTAGGGTAGAACAAACTAAACTACGAAGAAAGAGGTAAGTGAGACACTTAGTACGCCTGTGCAAATAAAAATGTATATATGCTTCAGGAAACACGACGGGCCTACGGTATTTATATTTTTTATTGCTAGTGGGGTGGGACTAAGTCCCTTGTACTGCGGCCACTTCTGGCCTATTGTATCAGCCCCAGATGTTAGGTGAGGGTGATTGTGGAGCACTTGGTGGAATGAAAATTGGCAGGGGAAACCGAAGTACTCGGAGAAAACCTGCCCCAGCGCCACTTTGTTCACCACAAATCCAAGTTGACCATACCCGGGATCGAACCCGCCCGCCGCGGTGGGAAGCCAGCGACTAACCGCTTGAGCTATGGCGCGGCCTAATCCTACGTTAAGACACAATGTTGATGGAATAATGTGAAAGTGGATCTTCGTGAAATTGACAGGTCATATGAAGTCATGTGTCTCACGGCAAGATCCAATGTCCAGAATTTTGTCGCGACGGTGATGAACCTTTCAACGACAAGGAATTTCTTGACCTTTTGACCTGAGTTGACGTGTTACGAGGGACTGACAAAAACCTGTCCCAGTTCAGGCTTCCAGTGGAGTGTGGAAGGTTCTAATGTCATGTTGGCTGTACACTTGCATAAAATTAGAACCAACGCTCGAGAGGTTCTCATGTCATGTTGGCCTGTCGACCTGTACAAAATTATAAACCAACGCTCGTGAGGTCCTTATGTCATGTTGGCCTGTCCACTTGTATAAAATTAGAACCAAGGCTCAGGAGGTTCTAATGTCATGTTCGCCTGTCCGCCTGTACAAAATCATAACCATCGCTCGTGAGGTCCTAATGTCATGTTGGCCGGTCCACTTGTATAAAATTAGAACCAACACTCGGGAGGTTCTAATGTCATGTTCGCCTGTCCGCCTGTACAAAATCATAACCATCGCTCGTGAGGTCCTAATGTCATGTTGGCCGGTCCACTTGTATAAAGTCAGAACCAACGCTCGGGAGGTTCTAATGTCACGTTCGCCTGCCCACCTGAAATTAGAACCAACGCCGTGATGGTTCTACTGCAATGCCGACACATGGCTGCTATGTCTGTCCCTTCCCTCTTTAAATTCGTGAACTAGCTGACCGAGTTTCATGAAATGTGGTATGAAAGTTATGTCGGTGGCTGTCACGCTAAAGCTGCACTTTCTCATGTTTAGAAATCCTTAAGAATAACATGGCGGATGCTCGAACTTATGATACCACCGGCACTTAACCTTGGGTCCTAAAATCGTTTGCGGTAAGGGATCTTGGAAGAATATACACATGCCAATTTTCTGGTACTTTTTTCAATATACCTGTAAGATAATAACATGGCGGCCACGGAAAAGTGTTCTTTCCTTTGGTCTCATGTTGCTAAGTAATGAACCAAGGGTAAAGGAGCGTGAAATATGGTATACACATTATATTGCTGTGTATGTCCGATATACAAAATCTGAATGCACTATTTAAGTAACGGGTTCTTTACAAAATTTAAAATTACTGCTGCTACTACTACTACTGCTACTACTACTACTGCTGCTGCTAGTACTACTACTACTACTTCTTCTTCTTACTAAGGCCGGGCCATAGCTCAAGCGGTTAGTCGCTGGCTTCCCTCCACGGCAACCCTGGTTCGATCCAGGGTCTGGTCAAGTGGGATTTGTGGTGGACAAAGTGGCGCTGGGCGGGTTTTCTCCGAGTACTTCGGTTTCCCTGCCGATCTTCATTCCACCAATTGCTCCACAATCACCCTCATCTATCATCTGGGGCTGGTACAATAGGCCACAAGTGGCTGCAGTACAAGGGACTTAGTCCCAAGGCACTAGCAATAAAAAAAAACACTAATTACTTCTACTGCTGCTGCTACTACTGCTACTATTATCATCATTAATGGTGGTAGCAGAAGTATATAATAATGAAGCTGTTTTATTAGAAACTTATTTAACAGGAAGTTATTACAGTGATTGAGACTAGCTCTTTCTATCGGGCCCAACTGAGTAGGTCTACCCTGCCCCATCCACCTGAGGACGGAAACAGATCCAGTCTCCGAAACCTTGGGGTTTTTGTCTTATATATACCAGACGATGGATGAAGTCCAAAATTAGCCTAATAGCTCTGTACAGCATACACCATCGTCAGAATCCTTTCAAGTCTATTAACAAAACGTACGTCAACTTTTCAAAACAGACAATCAGTTTGGTGAATGAGACCTGAAAGGGGTAAATATAGGCTTAAATATGAGAACAGTGCAATACCCGTTGAAAATTAACGCACTTCATTCCAACGTTTTCGCAAGGTCCGCGTCCTGTGTGGGAGCAAGGAAACAGACATAGGCCTAGGCGCCTATATTGCGCTAGCTTTTATACAACACATTTATGTAACTTAATTATGTTACTGAATGACGCGTCGAGGCCGCCTGACTATTAACGCCATCTGCCAGACATTGTCAGTAACTACGTCATCTGGCCAGAAAGAAAATAATATACTAAACAGGCTCTTATATATATATTTTTGTAACCAAATTTCCGTCAGAAATAATAAGCTTTGACATCACACAGAGGGACTGAAACCAAACTCTCGCCCTCAGGTGCAACCCTACGCTTTGCGCCTATAGGCCTATACGCATTATACGTAATTTCAATGCGAATACTTGTAAACAGCCAGGCTCTTATCCGTGTAATAACAATGAAAAACTCGTCACCTCGTACAGGAATTCCTAACAGTTCTTTCTCTGTTTCACTCTGAATATTACGAGAATGAATTGACGATAACGTAATGAGGTAAGCTGATAAGGGGTAACACAGACCTAGCTACTTATACCTCCTAAAATATTTCACGGTGTACGAATCTCTCGTGCTCACTTATTTACAGTCTGTGTGTTCTCTAACTTCCATTGGTTGACTTGGCTAGAAAACTCACAGCAAAACTAATATGGAAACATCACGCAAACCTCTAAAATTCTGATGCTCCAACAAAGTCATACTGTAAGGGATTCCGACTTAAACAGTGAAGGCAAGGTAGCACCACTCCCGCACGCACAATTCTGTAACACTTTCAATATCGCCATGCAAATCCCAAAAAATAGCTATATTTTTATGCTGTTTTGAACCTGTATGTCATACAAGCTTGCCCTCATGGTGTATTATACCCATGAAAATATTCGGTCCCTTAATTAGATCAGAAAAGAATTAGCTGGCCTTGTGACAGATTGTACGAGCCTATTCCCTTTGCTATATTTATTATGCAACCGGCACATCTGAATTAAAATGTTGCAACCTACCGGCCGATACAGCTACCGTATTCTGGGGGCCACTGACGCAAAAGTGTCCGGCGAGGTCACCGTATTGAACAGAAATTTCATAACAAGCATCCATATTAAAACGAAAACACGGAAATACGTACTCTCTTCAGCCGCACAAGCTTTTCGTTCGATATCTTTATATTGTGTATGCAGGTAACTTCCTCCATAGTCGTGTCACACGCTACTGAACACTGCGAAACAGAGTTCAGGCCTACACTACGGCCTATCTGTTGCTTCAATATTCAGACACTCTGCATTTTGCTCACACGGCGTATGTATGTTTATCATATGATTCCCGATATAAACGACTGCTCACCTTACAGGACACGCACTGTGCTTACCGAGAGGTAGGAACGGAAATTTCTTATGAGTTTGAAGCTCTAATTGCACAGAATACCACACAGAGCTAACCTAGTTGGGTATGCGAACAGAAGTGATGGCGCGTTTGCCTTCCAAATACCGGACTTACTACTTTTATTGATCACATGAATCTGAACACGATATGGGCAGCGTTTATCTCGAACTCCTTATCAACACCTGCTCTAACGCTCAATACATCTCCACTTCGCCCACAACATAACCTTATGGGTTTTGTCTGGCTATGGGAATAAATACACATTTTCCTAATCACAATTAACTGGCTAAATCGGCTGTAGAGTTTATCAAACGCAGACTGCAGCGTGAACTCCCAAACGCTGCCTAAGTTTAGAGGTCCTTCATGCCACTATATCGTAACGGAAGTGACCTTTCGCACTAACTTCCCCCCAGTTCCACAATCGTATGGACTACGGGCTCCATTACGCTCCGCCAAACATACGTTGAGTGTGGGCAGCCTCGCTTCTAAAAACTCGCTAACTGCGACTAACTAAACTAGTGCCCTAGGCGATGGATCAGCAATTCCAAGTGCCTAATTTAATTCTATACGACTGATAAGACTCTCTGGGTTAACTGATGTGGGCTAGTACAGTCAACCATTACAAAAGGGGGGTGAAGGGAGGGGATGCTGAGATCAATACTTAGGCCCGCTCGTAGCGCCTCCGTCCGGCCACACCACTTACCAGGATCCAGCATCCTTGAAAATCTCCTTCATACGGCTGCGGACCTATCCCGAAATGCTTACACACGTCACACATACTGCTCCAGCATACATTTTCCCGCCTTCACTTATCTTGTGGTCCGCCATCTTTTCCATTAATTTTCAAAACAGATCGGAATATATTTCGTAACTTATTTTTAAGATCTTGATTCCACACACAACACAAACCTATGTCTGTACCTCACTATCTGATCCAAACATTTTCCTTTTCACTGAAAAACACACACACTTTCATCTTGACCGTGGGGAACTCACAAACTGCGCTGTTACTTCATCTGGTGCAACCAAATATACACTAAAATTGGTTATTAAAACAGGCACACGGAACAATTTGAAACTGCCAATCGTCGCCTGCAGGCCCAACCGTCAAATGCGGTACTGGACCAGACCTGAGCACTCGAAAAGAAATAACAAAAAAAAAAACTGTACAGCGAGAACAAAACACAAAGCCGCTGTTCACACGTCCTTCCTTCGTACAGGATGGCTTCGGACTCGGCTCCTACCGCTCGGCGTCGGCGCAAAGAGATGGTCCGTTAAAAAACAGTCAAAGAAGCGCGCAACGATTGCAGCGTCGCCCTGGCGGACAACAGCTAAACCATCAATGCCATTCAAAGCTCCACCTCCTTTGGTGGGTAGGCGTGGCTTCCTACTGCATGGAACACTCGGGGTGGAGCTTCTGACATATCACCATGGGTGGAGTTTCATTTTCGAACCCAACCATAGAATGAAAAGGGGGTAAAAGGATTAGAAAAACATAAAATGAAATAAAAGGCACTTACTGTGGCCAGGAATGAAAGAAAAAAGTTCACTGGTATTGGGTGTAGGAACTGGAAACCTTGAAACGTCCGCTAAGATTGAGAAGTCTGAAAACAAGGAGCTGCTGCTCACTGCCAACCACACCACGCGGGATGCTGTCCGAGAAGTGAAAAAAATATCAAAGGGGTATCCCGCTAGAATGCGCGCGCAACCAACTTCAACCGCCGGTCCCGCGCAAACATTTTGAAAATTATTATGAGACAAAACGGACACTCTCATGTGATCCTGCCCCACCCGATGCAATGTGAAATTCTTCTGTAATCATCGCAACGTTTTAAACAAGCCTGAAAAGCTAGCACACCTATTCAGGACCTACTTGTCCCACAAGTTGAGACAAAGGATTAACTCGAGTCGTAAACTCTGTGTAAATTATTCCTGGAATATTACGAAATATTTCAAACCAAATAAAGAAGTAAGGAATGGAGTGCCTGGGCAATACAAACGGCAAGTTTATACGGTTAAGTTAAGTTCATTCAAACTCTGCACCATGTAAATAATTCTTATAAGTTTCTTGCATTTATGTCCTTAGTTTAATGACTCGTGTTTAGGGTAAATTAAAACACTATTTACTAAGCATAGGAGATATAAAATACAGTATGTAGGCTAGACCGACTGAGGGAAATAATAAATACTGGGTTATGGACACCGTATTGTATGCAGACTGCTAAGTTGGTTGTGTTCCCTATACACGTTGAACTATGACACGACGTCATAATCCCAAAGGCTACAGTTTCACTGGCATGAACCCTTAGTAATTTGACGAGCATTTTGCATAGGACTTTCTGTAGCGGACACTAACAATTTATACCCCTTCACTCATAATAACAGCAAGCTCAATGAGTTTCGACTTTTGCACTGCTCGAAAACGATGCGCTTCAGCAGATTAGCCTCGTTTTTGTTTTATGTGACAAATCTTATGTAACTCGTCCAGAATTGCTCTCCTACCTCAAAGAAAACACAGGATATCAGTCAACTGAATGAAGAAATCATCAAATAACAGTCATATAACAACTGAGCTCCTACTGCACAGAAAACATACTTCGTTACCACTACAAAGACAAATCAATTACAGATCTTTAGAGAAAAATGAAGTCGCTGTTTGTTCTGATAATGATGTGGAACACGGCTAAGCGTAGAGCTGTTTGAATGTTATGGAAAGTGGTAGGGCTCATGCACATATTTACTGTGCTTTAAAAGCATAAGGTCCACTCCTTACATACATTTTTTATTTATCATTTATCAGCAATCTGAATTTGCATTCTATGAGCTAATTTGCTGTCATGTACAATAATTATTCTATTGTACTAAGTTGGCTTGAAGAGCTGTAATCCATCGATTACGCCTCAGTTTTCCTGGAGATCGTTTGGCCAAGTTCGTCTTAGTCTTCTGTATTGTGTAGGTTGAAGGAGAGCTTCTATTGCGTTGTTGGGGTGAGATTCCAGTTTCTGATAATGTTTTTGGATTCTGTCTGTGATTACGGTTCTTACATATGGGATCTTGAGGTCGGTGTGAAGAGTTTGGTTTGACACGTACCAAGGTGCGTCAACTATGGCTCTAAGTATTTTGGATTGACTTCGCTGGATGATTTCTATGTTGGACTTGCTGGCGCATCCCCANGATTTAGACGTACTGAGGGGCAGTTGCCTTTCCTGAGAGTAAAAGTCACATGCGCCGATTTGCTTTCATTCACTTTGATTTTCCATCGGTGTAGCCATTTCTCCATCAGATTCAGATGTTCTTGTAAATTAGATGAACCAATTACCGGGTCTTCTGACGTAGCGAAAATTGCTGTGTCGTCTGCGAACGTACCTATTTTTGTTAATTCGGTGGTCGGTATATCTGAGGTGTACAGCACGTAGAGGAGTGGACCCAAGATACTGCCCTGAGGAACTCCTGATTGTATGTTTCTTCGGTTGGATACTTCAGCGTTGATTTTTATTTCGAATTCTCTGTCTGTTAGGTACGACTGCAGTATTGCGAAATATTTGGCCGGTTGAATTCTTCTGATTTTGTAAAGCAGGCCTGGATGCCAAACTTTGTCAAATGCTACGTCGAGGAAGGCAGCAGTGCAGTATTGTTTGTTTTCCATAGCTTGGTTGATTATATTAGCTATTCGGAGGCATTGTTGTACTGTGGAAAAGCATAAGGAAACCGTAAAAGCAGCAGACACGATTACTGCAATCAAGCCAAGCTCCACACAAGAGGCAACTGGAACTGAAATTTGTTTAGGAATTTTATGCTGACGTCAGTACAACTCGAAATGCTACTTGATTTGTATCTACAGATAACCGAGCAATTTGTCGTACAAATGAAAGGGCAGTTACGGGTTCTGATCGCCCCCCCCCCTTCTTAATGGCCGGTCACTGGGCCATGACCATTTTTAGCCTACTTTCCTCATTTTGAATAAGAAGTTATGGGAAGAACTAATCTTCTACTTTCCTTAGATACGACACGCACCGCATAGAAAACAACGCGTCTAAGAATTCCTCTATTGTCGCGTGCCGCGGTAACGTTTATAGAAAGCCGTTGCGCCATAGGTCAAGCGGCTAGTCGCTGGCTTCCCACCGAGGTGGTCCGATTTCGATCCCGGGTATGGTCAAGTGGAATTTGTGGTGGACAAAGTGGCGCTGGGGCAGGTTTTCTCCGAGTACTTCGGTTTCCTCTGCCAATCTTCATTCCACCAATTGCTCCACAATGACCCTCACCTATCATCTGGGGCTGGTAAAATAGGCCAGAAGTGGCCGCAGTACAAGGGACTTAGTCCCATCCCACTAGCAATAAAAAAAGCCGTTACCTAGCAACGATAGAGGTATGAGGTACGCCGTTGCAATGGGCTGAGGTGCCATAGAGTTTCATAACGATTGGTTCAAGCATTCAAAACTGATGTGTGGGGAGGACACCCAGAACGGAAGGAGAACGTTGAAACCTACATTAGAGAAGGAGGCTAAAAATGTGTCTCTATCTGTATTGACATTACCGTTGCTAGGCAACAGCTCGGTAAACATGTTCCCGCGGCAAAGAATACACAAGAAACACTAGAAGATTTGTTAAATGCTTCGTTTTCTATGTGATTGTTTTCGTATCAAAGAAGTAAGTGATTAGCTCTTCCCAGAACTTCCTGTTCTCTTCTGGGTTACGACGCCGTGTAATTTTGCGCCGTTTCTGGTTACCAAACTTACCAGCTTGCACCCGCCATCTTAAAAAAAAGTGTAACTCTGTATGTAGTCTTCTTCAAGTTTGTAGTATGAAGTCTGTTTACGTGAGACACGTCGTCCACTGCAGAGAAACGTCTGAAAGAGATGCTGAACGTCCACAAAGGCAGTCAAGTTTAGACAGGAAAGATTCCATGGTGAAGAAGTGAAAATAACTGTAAGTAGCACAGATGTTTTCTGAATCTGTGTAATTTCGTTTTAAATCAAGTACTCCAAATGAAATTCTAAATAACTTACAATGTTTATCCATTTTGCTAACAAATGAACTGAAAACTTTGCGCGCGTGCTTGCGCGTGTTTATATGCGTTCATAAAATTCATATCTTGGAAGAAAACATGTTGGGATATAATTTATAAATCCTTTGTTACAGGCGTCACGCGGCTGGTAGTCCTCTTTATGACATTATAAGAGCACAATGAATAAAAGGATGTGGAGATGTCCGTCATTGTTAATTCTCACCTTAAGGGGAAAATATCAAGACTGGGTGCTCGTAAATTGGCGACCCAGAAGGAAATGACATTGCCGTGAAGTGGAACGGGATAGGCGAGTCATGTAGCATGCATAGAAAGACATGAAAAATGCATAGAGCATTTTATTCCGGAAACTTGAGAATGAGAGATCATTTGAAGAAATGATATTAAGAAATCTTAAAGAAAATTAATTTTAAGAATGTGCAATGGGTTCATCTGGCTTGGGATACGTTCGAGGGGCGATCTCCTGTAAACATGGTACACAGTGAACCTTCAGGTTCCACGGAAGAAGTGGACTATGTGGGTTGCTATGAGGCGCTTAAAGCGGACTTCAGCCCATGGATGTAGCTGGGTTTAGCTGTAAAATTGGGCCTACTTCTGTTAACTGGGAAGAACTTACACACAACTAGACCTGTAATGAAAAATAAAATTAATTTTAAATTCCAGGGACATCACAGCCCTGAATCATCTTCATCACAGTCTGCGTGTTCGGCAGCAATTCGAATCCGTCCACCCATTTCGAACTCTACGTTTGACTGACCATGCCTAGGCCTGCAGGTCTACACACAGTGAGCCCGCCGGACGCGTTCCTGGACATTCCACAGCACTGACATTGCAGTCTCCAACTGTCCGCGTACATATAGGATCTAGGTCTACAGACGCCCCTAGAAGGCACTCAGAATGGGACGCATTTAGAAAGCTCTAGTGCCGTTTCGATGAAGATGGAATTTCTTTTCTCTCTGTCAAAAACTTGCCGGCCGACTATCTTGTTCACGACGCACGCGGGTAATTGAAGGTGTCCTTTACTTCGTTCTTGAATTAGCGCCTTTCATTTGCGGAGTTTGCACGTAAAATTTCTGGCCCATCTAGAATCCTGAAAATTACATTAATGTAGCTCTCACCACCCTAGACAATATATCTGTCTCTCTGTCTTTCTTTTTGTTTATCCATCCGTCTATCTATCTATCGATCCAACCATCCATCTATCTGTCTGTCTATATATATATCTGTGGCTCTACAGCCCTTTTGTTGGACTTCGGCCGCGTTTTTAGTTTCTTAATCCTATACACAGTCGGCAGTATTCCCTGCACGGGGGAACAGCCCGTCGCAAGGTCGCAACCTAAACACAGATGTTCATGTCTTTAGTGGGATCCCAGTGTCCGGGCGGGCGAAGACAGTTCATGCCCTAGCCCGCGAGGCCGGATTGTGATCGGCAGTGTGGGCACTATGCATGTCGCAAATAAGTTTAGTGCCTATTCACTTTATGTCGCAAATCGGTGTGTGCATTATGCACATAAACAGTTAGTTAGGTGTAGGTTTAAGATTTATGTTGCTAATCACTCTTTGCCTTTTAGATTAATATTCATTGTTTATCAATATAAATTCTACAGACTTTCATTTGAGGCATGTGGTCAATCGCCGTTTGCCCTACATTTTAATTTCTGGTTGTAAAACTATTTATATCCTCAATTATTTACTTTATGTC